CTGCGGGGATCGGCGTGGTCAAGGTGCAAAAACTCGAGGTTTTTTTGCGATTTCTGCGGTGCTCGCGCGACCCTCTGCGGGGATCGGCGTGGTCGAGGTGCAAAAACCCATGGTTTTTTGCGATTTCTAAAGTTCCCGCGCGACCCTCTGCGGGGATCGGCGTGGTCGAGGTGCAAAAACCCATGGTTTTTTGGCGGTGCTCGCGCGACCCTCTGCGGGGATCGGCGTGGTCGAGGTGCAAAAACCCATGGTTTTTTGCGATTTCTGCGGCGCCCGCGCAACCCTCTGCGGGGATCGGCGTGGTCGAGGTGCAGAAACTCGAAGTTTTTTGCGATTTCTGCGGTGCTCGCGCAACTCTCTGCGGGAATCGGCGTGGTCGAGGTGCAAAAACCGAGGTTTTTTGCGATTTCTATGGTGCTCGCGCAACCCTCTGCGGGAATCGGCGTGGTGCAAAAACTCGAGGTTTTTGCGACTTTTGTTGTTCGAACTGGTCCTCGGGAGTTGTCTCGTGGTTCGCGCGCATGCTCCCGGAACCGGCGGGTCGCGGGTTCGATTCCTCCCTGGTCCGCGGGCGGGCGTCGCAAGATGCAACTTGCATTTTAAAGCAACTTGCGCAGAGCAACTTGCGCAGAGCAAGTTGCACAGAGCAACTTGCGCAGACCAACTTGCACCGACCAGTTTGCGCAGAGCGCCTTGCCTAGAGCAACTTGCGCAGAGCAACTTACGCAGAGCAACTTGCACAGAGCAACTTGCACAGAGCAGCTTGCACAGAGCAACTTGCAGGGAGCGCAATTTGCACAGAGCAACTTGCAGGGAGCCACTTGCAGGGACCAACTTGCCGGAGCAATTTGCGCGGAGCAACTTGCGCAGAGCAACTTGCACAGTGCAACTTGCGTAGAGCAACTTGCGCAGACCAACTTGCAGCGACCAGTTTGCGCAGAGCACCTTGCCTGGTGCTGTCTCGCGCTTGCTTCACGAATGCTTCGTGTAGGGAAAAAGAACGCATCCTGCAGCGTTGGGCCGACCTCGCTTGCGATGTTCTGCTTTCGGGCCAACCGTGGTCTAGTTCACTCATTTACTTCCACGGTCTTAAGAAGATGCTTAAGCAGAAAATCTCTGCTACTTTTCCAGGGGACTGAAGCAAATGGCGGCCCTCAATCGGAGTTCAGGAAGTGCATTCTGGTCTTTATCAAGCTGCCCCCCTCGTGGTCTGGCTTGTTGCGCAGCCATTTGTGCCATGGTCGCAAGACCCCTAGTTCTCGGTTTTGCCATCAACTTCTGGACAGCTTTGGACACCATGCATGGGTTTCAAGGAGCAATAGCCATGAGCTTATCAGGAGGTTGAAATCCTCCTGGCACATGTGTGCAGGGGGTACCCCTTCTGGGCTCACGTGAAAGAGGCTTAAAGGACACGTAGTCCACTTTGAGGCACTGCCATTCATGGTTTCCGTCAAGTAGCCCGGGTTTGCCTAGTTGTAGCCCAAGTGTGTTCAAGACCCAAGCAAGTAGGTTTCGGCAACATCCCCCTCTATCGCGCAGGCGTGCGTGACTATCGGTGGCACGCTGTCTGTGTCTGGTAGCATGGTGATCGAGAATTGCTGGAACAACGGCGCAGACAGGGCACATGGCGGCTGCCTCAATGCCAGCGACCTGGTTCTGGAGGACCCTTCCTTTCACATGGGAACAGGGCTTTCAGGTGAGGGTGACGGCCCTGAATCGGCTGGGATTTTGGTAGTCCAGCGGAGCCAGGGGGCGGTGAGTTGCAAAGATATAAAGCCTATGGTTTGGAGCACGCTTCTGTCCCCTTGTTTCTCGCTCTGTCTTGTTGTTTCCTTTCTCGTTTTTCTGCGCTCTTTTCTATTTTTGCTTCGCTCTCTCTCTCTCTCTCTCTCATTCTCTTCATTCTTATCTTTCTCATTTGTTTATCTTCCTCATCCTCTTCCTCTTCACTCTTCATCGCGTCTCTTTCTCTTTCTTTGTTGATCTTTGGCTTTGCCCTTCTCGTTTTTCTGTATATCTATCTCTTCTTCCGTCGCTTTCTCTCTCTGTCTCTCTCTTTCTCTTTTTGTTCTTTTTTTGCGAGTCCTTATCTGCGGCGTCTTGAGGCAGCCATCGCTCCATGTTTTATGCGCCTTTCAGCGAGGCTTTCTTTCAAACCCTTTTACCTTTATCTTTGTGGCATTACCATTTAATACCTGTTTCTGTTTTGGCGCCTAGAATTGAAACAAGATCAGTTGATAGTTCACAACTGTCTTGCTGCATGTCCATCTCTGTTTCTTGCTAGATGTCCAGCATGGATCAATTTGACTTCTTATTGTTTTTGTTGAATTATTTATGTCTCTACTTGTAGATCTTCATCTATCCTACAAACCTAATCTTATCTAATCCAATCTGTCTATCTCTCTCTCTCCCTTTGTCTGTCTGTCTGTCTGTCTGGCTGTCTGTCTGTCTGTCTGTCTGTCTGTCTGTCTGTCTGTCTGTCTGTCTGTCTGTCTGTCTGTCTGTCTGTCTGTCTGTCTGTCTGTCTGTCTGTCTGTCTGTCTGTCTGTCTGTCTGTCTGTCTGTCTGTCTGTCTGTCTGTCTGTCTGTCTGTCTGTCTGTCTGTCTGTCTGTCTGTCTGTCTGTCTGTCTGTCTGTCTGTCTGTCTGTCTGTCTGTCTGTCTGTCTGTCTGTCTGTCTGTCTGTCTGTCTGTCTGTCTGTCTGTCTGTCTGTCTGTCTGTCTGTCTGTCTGTCTGTCTGTCTGTCTGTCTGTCTGTCTGTCTGTCTGTCTGTCTGTCTGTCTGTCTGTCTGTCTGTCTGTCTGTCTGTCTGTCTGTCTGTCTGTCTGTCTGTCTGTCTGTCTGTCTGTCTGTCTGTCTGTCTGTCTCACCCTTTGTCTGTCTCTCTCCCTTTGTCTGTCTGTCTGTCTGTCTGTCTGTCTGTCTGTCTGTCTGTCTGTCTGTCTGTCTGTCTGTCTGTCTGTCTCTCTCACCCTTTTGTCTGTCTCTCTCCCTTTGTCTGTCTGTCTGTCTGTCTGTGTCCGTCTCTCTGTCTGTCTCTGTCTGTCCCCATCCGTTTTTCCATTTATCCATCTACCCGTGAACGAACTGAAGCAAACAAAGCAACACATGTTTTCGGCGACCCATCGAAAAGTCCGGAGAGGGCTCGCCTTTTGATAGTTGCACAAGCCCCAAAATCGCAACACAAACACTGTTTTTTGTGGTCGACCAAGCAAAAATCCTCGACCCACCAAAAGTCCGCAGAGTGCTCACTTGATGGGTACACGCGCTGCGAAACGCAAGCACAAAACACAAGTTGTGTATGCCCGACCCCGCGAGAGTCCGAAGAGGGTAACGCGAGCGAAGTGAAAGTCGCTAAAAGCCAAGGTCGAGCCACCGAAAGGCAGAGGGCGGGGACACCTCCGGGCCGCCCGGAAACCACCCAGACCCCGCCCCGCGCTGGTAACGCAATATCACTGTTCAGCAAAAGGAAGGGTGTTCCCTTAGGGGTGCGGGCAGTTGGGTGGTTTTGGTTGCTGTTGTACTTTGGAATGTATGAGGACTGGCTCACCAATGTGTCTTGTCTACGGGATGCCAGATGTTCTTGGAAGGTGCTTAGCTGTGCTGCAGGCAGGCAGGAGTTCATCCAAATTATCGCAGTGCTGCGTGAACACACAGTCGAGCCGGTGTGCTCATCGTTTGGCAGGTGTGCGGATAGTGCTGCGCTGCTCAGCTAAGCTTGTGTGCGTACCATTTAGGCCCCCCCACCCCTCACAAAAAGGTACCCCCTGCAACAGAGAGGCAGTCGTGTGAATCAGTGCTGCGCGGGCTCATTCCAGTGGGTGTGACTATCACTTAGCCCCCGAAGATCCTCTGGCAAAAGGGCAAAAGCAAACGGCAATGAGAGCACATGCTCAAAATCAACTCGTCGTGCACGAGTCAGTCAGAAACCCGTTGCAAGAGAGTTAGGCGAGCTTCAGTCACAAGTGGGTGTGGATCAAAATTAAACAGGAGGGGTTACACAGGTTTTTGTTCATATTTCCACTTACCAGGGCAACCCAGTTTGGCACCGGTATTTTGAGCCACAGCCAAGTGAGTAAATCGCATCACTTTACTCAACCCTCCTCACCTATCCACCAAATTTCGAAGCAGCTCAAAGCACAAACAGCCTCCACTTCCCCTGCCCCATCTCCCTAAATTTTGACCACATCTAGGAGGGCCTACTGCGCTTGGACACCTGCAAGACGGCTGGGCTTGGCGGTGGGGCATCCATAGGCACTTTGCTCCAGAGGCCACGAGAGGGTCGGTTTTCTGGGCTTGGGCCCCACAGCTCTTTGTCAGGAGTGCAGCTCCCCAAAGTGACCCGATCCCCTTCACAAAAGTCGACCACAGGAGCCCTGCGAATCTGTGCCTGGAAAAAACACTGTCTTTTCATCAGACTGGGTGCTAAATAGCCCACAATTTGTTTGTGTCTCATTCAAAGAGAGGCCAACAGAGGATTGTATTTTTACTGTGTCCCTGTTTAGCGCCCAGACAAGTTTTCATCTTGCTCAGGCAACGCAACAGCCGCCACCGTGTTTGATTGATTGCATCGCGCAATGGCATGGCAGCAAATGTCTTATGCATTCCCTGCACCTAGCATGCGCAGCGCGGTCCTCCGTCGAATGTTTAGCTTGTTTCCAGTATATGTTCAGCTGTTTGGCAATATTATAGTACGCGCCTGGCACATGTCCACGAAGTCCAGCATACGTTGAGCATGTCATGACATGCTGATAGCATGATTTCAGCCCAGCTTAAGAAGCACAAATTTTACAGCACAGAGTGAACGCAATTGTGTTGTAGGTCTTGCATGTGTAAGCATGCCCAGCAAGACCTTGCGTCATCCTATTTGTCTAGCGCGTTTATGCATGCATGTAGAATGTGTTTAACTTAGCTTGACTACATGTTCACTTGTCTACCATGTTGCGAGCATGCTTCTCAAGTTATTCTAGTTTGCAACTGTGTCCTATCACGTGTCAACTACCCATCACTTGTCTGGCAAATGCCTGCTGGCTTCAGCTTGCATTGTGCTGAGCATTTGTTTAGCACGTGTGCGGTATGTTCCTACCATTTTCTAATGCCTTTCTAGCATCACATGTCTACCATATGTCAAGCAAGTGCTTAGACTTCCCAGCATATGTGCAGCTATGTTCTTTGTGTTCAGCAAACAAGAACGCCAAATTGCACAGAAACTCAAGATGCACGGCCCATGTCTGTCTACCTCGAGCTCTTCAGTAGCGAATTGAGGTCAGAAACGCTACAAGTTGTCGTGATCACGCAATATTGTTCTTGCTTCAGAAGCACAACACGCACGCCTGTTGCTCAAGAGTTATGACGAACACTTTGTATTGAATGTTGTTGGGCTCCCACAAAGACACCAAATCGACAACCCTGATTGGCTGAGGCGGTCGCATAGAATCTGTTTTCCGGGATGAGCGATGTGTTGGGCTTTTTGGGTGGATTCGCCAACAACAGCGTCATAATTCCGAACGTGAGGGCCATAGGGTCAAACATGTTTTTGTTATCTTATCTTGTTTGTGGGTAGGACCCAAGAAAACCCCATTAGCAGGTGCTGTTCCCCCTCCGCGCGACGTTTCGGCCATGCGCGAGGGGGTGGTGAGATGAACGTCTCCAAGTGCGAATCAAAGATGGGTGGAGGAGGCGGAGAGAAGCCGCTGGCGAAAAATGTGGGGATGTCTTTGCTTCAGTGACCCTTTATGATTTTCTGGGATGGTTTAAAGAGACACCAACACGTAATCGCAGCCCCTTATTTGTAGATATTTGGAGACAAACCCGCCTGGCGTGGCTGTGCCAGATTTGTTTGGGCTCTCAGCTGCCTTGACGTGGCTTGTTTTACGTTTTCGGTTTCCATCCAAAAACTGGGCGCTGGCCAATAGTTGTTTCCACTGGATGCCAAAGATGGGTTGTTAAATGTTCCTTCCTCTCTCAAAGGGGGTGTAAATTATGGCACTTGCTCTGCGCCTGCGAGGGCTGAACGCCGGCTCCCTGGTCATGGAGGTGCATGGGATGGATTGGCTGAGTTTTGAACCTGGTGCCTTGCACTGTGGCTTTAAACACGGATGGGGAAGCCATACACGTATACACGTTTGATGGCGTAGAGACAAATCACGTTACCCCCTTGGTTGAGCCTCAAGCGGAGTCTAGTCGGAGTCTGGTCTGACTGTGGTCTCGGTTAGCTCTGCACTCGTCAGCATGTTGTGTAGACGGTGGGTGTGCAGCCCCCAACGCACTTACAACTCTGCAGTTCTTACGGGATGAGTTGTCGAGGTGTCTCTCGTTAAAGCCTGCATGGCGGACATGCCACTTCTCAGCTCCCGAAGTCAAGTTGCCATCGTTTCATGGCCGTGCTACCCTCACCACAGAACCGAGGACTTCTTTTGAACTGGCCTTGGGGGTCCTGGGCATAGCTCCGGCTTGGTGAAAACAGAAGGCGCGAAAAACACTGTTTAAAGTGGGCTGCCAGCTGTGAAACTACTTGATCTCAGGTTGTTTTCTAGTCTTCTGGGAGGCACCGCTTAAGAAGAGTTGGCACAGATTACCCATGTCTTCATACCTATCTCGCAGCGCAAACACCTTGCAGAACGTAGTCGCCTGGAATGCCCATACCCTGGCAGGCCAACCCTCCTCGTTTTTCCAACACGTCGAGAGGGCTTGTTTCTCTCAATCTCAATGTGTTGCTGAACACAATAGCAAGGCTAACATGAAAACCTGGATGATTGACATTGAATTCACTTCGCTGTCGCAGGGCGGCTTCCTGAACTTCGACGGGGGAACTACTTTGGGCAACGGCGGATGCGCGCAGGTGACCACTGTGCACCAGAGGCGGGCGCGCGTCATTTCCAGCAACCCACAGTCGTGCCACATTCCAAGAGTTTGTCATTGGAGGGCAGCAACGGTAGTCCGAAACAAAACGCCGGCAAGAAGCCTTTGAGTTCTTGACATAGATTTGGCAGCCAAGCACCAAGTGTGTGTGCGTGCATGTGTGCCGTGCCTGGGTGGGTGGGTGGGTGTCTGTGTGTTTGTGTGTGCGCGTGCGTGCGTGCGGGCGGGCGTGCGGGTGGGTGGGTAAGTGGGTGGGTAGGTAGGTGGGTGGGTGGGTGGGTGGGTGGGTGGGTGGGTGGGTGGGGTGGGTGGGTGGGTGGGTGGGTGGGTGGGTGGGTGGGTGGGTGGGTGGGTGAGCGTGTGTGAGCTTATTCCGCATGCAGCTGAGATGTATGTGGGCGTGCTTATCGCAATTTTGGCTGGCGTGCATTCCCTTGTCAGAACAGCAATGCTGGGGTCATTTGGCAGCATGTGTTGCTCCAGACAGTACTGTAGCAGGGGATCGCGTGTTCTTGCACATGGTTATGAGCCAAGCCTTAAAATTTCTGAATCGGCCTGGTTGGCTGAAAGGCTGAACGTCGGCCGCAAATGGCGGAATGGCTGAACAGCTCAACATGAGGATCACGGGCTTGCTGAAGGGCGGAACGTCACACCAGAACTGCATTCCGCCGTTTTTGTTCACGCAATGCAACAATTTTAGGATGGCATAACCCCCCTGCCCCCCCTCCGGCAGACCAGAACACTACTCGAGTGTGGAAGCCCCAAAAATGTTCCTCTCGGATTCCCGTTAACTTTTGGCAAAAACGGCATGTAAGTTGAAGCCGGAAGCCTCCGGCTGACCCCCGCGCGCCAGGGCAGGAGAGGCGCGCTTCATCCATTGCGTGGCAGCTGGAAAAGGAGGAGGCCGGGGCGCCAACACCAGTGTTGGAGCCAGGCAACGCAAGAAGTACTATATTCAAGTTGTCTTCACCCCGCGGAAGGACCCCAGTTCTGAAGACCATGTTCCCACCCAATGAATCTTTCCTCCAAAGAATGAGACAAGTTGGAATGGGTGCGCTTTTCCTCGAGTTGGTTCCCACGGGCTTCGCGAAAGCCCAGACCGCCACTTTCGCCGCAGGCCTCGCTGCGCAGTCCTTGGCGCAAGATCGAGTTGGTTCCAAGCGCTTCGTCGACGGCGTTGCGCGGAAGCATGGTGGCAGCTTGGCCCTGCGCCATTTGCCGGAGTTTGTGTTTATGAGTTGCCCTGTTTGGTTTCAAAAGGACACGTACGGCTGGAAATAGTTTGTTTTTTTGGAATGAACAAATGGACATTTGACTTCATGTATCAGGCTCACAGTTTTGAAGGGCATAGGTTTCACCTGAAGATGTTCACTCAACTTTTGGCAGTACATGACGAGCGTTCCTCGGATCCGCTCCAAAGGGGGCAGCGTGCTGCGCGACGCGCGACGCTCGGCTCAGGTTGCGCGTATTTGCAGAAAACGACCAAGAGCGGGAACCTTTCCTTTGAAAGCTGCAGGACTCAGAAAGGCCGGGGGTGTGACCTTTCCACGTCATGACTCACTTAAGGGCAAAGGAAGGGCGCTAGGCTCCCCAATTCAAACTTTCACCAAGCTTTCATTTTTCAAACCACCATTAAAAAACAATGGGGATTTATACAACCATCATCGTTTCCCAAAGGATTGTCATCATCCAAATTGGATCAACCATTCTTTTAAAAGGGGGAACCTAGGGTTGATTTCTCATCAAGTTTCGACGCGGGTGCAGGAGCTTGTTCATTTGGTTCTGTATTTTCAGAAGGGATTCCGGAAAGGGCTCGGGCTTTCAAGATGTGTTTTGTGGATCGGCCCCGTTAAACGATGGCAGGCGGCGGATGTGGCTATGCCAAAGTACTACACCAGTCGAAGTCAGGCCATCTGATTTGCCGCAATTGCACAGCCGAATCTGGCGGATGCCTTTTTGAATCTCGGTTTCTTGTTAGTTTGGCTTTTTAGGTTGTTGATTTTGTCAACATAAACCACACAACGGTTTTTGCTTTCTTTTTCTTAAGACATGACACTGTCGACCTTTCGGGTATGACGAGCTGTGCCCACAAAGCTCAAAAACTAGCAACACCAACTCGCCGAGCCGAAGACTCCTTAGGCAAAGCGAAAGCTGGACATTGGGGGCGTTCTGAAGGCGTCCTCCGTGGCCGCACCTCGGGGCAGCGTGCTGCTGATGGCGAGAGAAACGCCTGCCACCTTGCAGCGCTTGGAGATACAGCAAGCCCGGGGTGTAGCCCTGGACGGGCGACGGATGAACATTTCGGAGTTGGCCCTGGGCCCTTCCGATGCCCCCTTCAGGGTCAGGGCGAGCGACTTATTTCTGGACTCAGCCAACTGCAGCTTGATGGAAGAATGTACCTTCCAGCAGCACGAGGACACGTGTGTTGAGTTTCTTGGGTGCGTTACAGTCTGCACCAAGCAACATGGGCATCTGGGGGTTGTTTTTAAACCCCGTCTCTTGACTTTAGTCTAAAGTGGAAACTCGATAAAATAAACCCCAGAGTAGAGTTGTCAAAACCCGACGTGCGCGGAAGCGGGCGCAAGGGCGGAAGAGGCCTACTCGTGTACCTTTTGTACTTCTACAATGATTGTTATTACTCCCGGTCCATCTAAGAGCCCTTCCAGGGAGGGCCGTTAGCTAAGAGACCCAGCAGGAAGGTCCTTTCTGTTTTCCGCATTTTTGGGCCTTTTTGGAGCCCGCCCAATTCCAAACTGCAAGCATTTTTCTCATCTAGCAGACCGAAATGCACTCGTTTGGCGCAACTGCGAAGCTTTCCGCTCCGTGAGACGCAAGCGCAACCGCGCAGCACGCATCACCGCGTACTCAAAAGTAGCGCGACGCACCCCAGGAATACAACGACAGATGCTTTTAAGCCACCGCATGCTGTCTTCGTCCGAAAAACAATGGTGATGCCTAAAATTTTGCCGCTCAAGGAGGCAATGGTGCATTGTGTAATGGACCTTGGGCTTCAAAACCCATAAGAGAGGCGTACGTACACCCCGTGCATTCTGCTGCTGCTCCCTGCCAGCGCGTAGGACACAAGCAAAACACAGCACATTCTGCAGTATCTAGCAACATTGCCACGCGTGTGTGACCGCCCCACCTCATGCTCAAGAAGGACAACACGATGTGCGAGCGCAGGAAGGATAGGCCAGCCGCATATATGTCAGATGCGGCGTCTCGCGTCCTTTCGTCCCAAGCACTCACATGCAAGCATAAACAGTACACTGATCAAGCCAAAATAAACAAGTCCAGTTGTCTATATAAGCCAAGCAGCAGATACCTCCCATGTCTTTCTGAGAGCCCGAAAACCGGCAAAGAGAAGACCTGGGCATCTAAATGGCAGGGATTCTGCCACAGAACGTGAACCCATATGGTAAAGCCGTGGAATCTCATTTTTGCTTTTTACTGGTGAGTACACTGCTTAAGCCCCAGGCAGGGCCACATGCTGAAGAGGCAGCTTCTGTTCGGCGGGGTAGGGCTGCCCATTTTGCAATTGCTGCGAAAGCCAGGCGCCACAAATGCGCGAGTCTGGGAGGGCAAAATTGCGGCTCAAAGCCAGTTGCGCAACACCTGCCAACCATTCGGTAATGATGCGACCGTTGTAGGCCTTGTGCGACATCATGATATTCATATTCTTACGCTTCACAACCTCAGACGCACCATAGCAACGCGCAAAACCACATCCCCAACACATGCATGCGTGCACATCCACGCGGACATCGCAGACACACACACACACAAACACACACACACACACACCCACACACACACACACACACACACACACACACACACACACACACACACACACACACACACACACACACACACACACACACACACACACACACGCAATGACGCACAAAACGGGTCACCATGCACATGCGTGACTAGAGGCAAAATCACAAACAACCGACAATTGCGCAAAAACTCGCAAGCACTTGTACAAGCAAAATCACTGAGAAACAACACACCGCCAAAGGCAAAACAACAAATTTAAGTTGCATACATGAACGCATGCACGAACGCATGCGCAGTCAATATCAGCACTCACACACAATCAACAAATAGCAAAAGCAAACTAGCCAGTTTTTTACACACGCAAGCAGGCAAACTAACAAGGAGGCAAACAAGCGAGCGAAACTATATAACCAATTATCCAACAGACAACTTTTTGAATATATGAGCTGAGCACATACACATGACAAGCGCGCCAGCCAACAAGCAAGCAAGCGAGCGGACAAACAAACAAACATGCAGATAGCAAGTAGGAAAGGTACAAAAGCATAAACAAACAACAAGTCCTCACACAAACAAGTAGACAAGCAACAACAAGCAACACAAGTACAACTCACAACACGCCCAAACGCAAACCTGCAAACACACATTGCGCGCGCGCAACACGCAAGGCAGACACAACCCACTAAAACACTCATACAGGAAACAACTAACTTGCAACCGCACGAGCAACAGCGCGCCACACAAACGCACACACACACACAGATACAAACATGACAGCCAACCAAACAAACACAAACAGGCAAACATGCAAGCACACACACAAACAAGACAGCCATCAAACTAAACAACACAAAGCAAGCAAACAAGCAAACAATCCAGCAAGTGCGCACCCAAACAAGCAAACAGACTACATGCAAACAAACTTTTTTAAGCGCAAGCAAACAAGCAAACAAACAAATGCAGACAAACAAGTATAAACATGTTAACATAGAAACAAAAAACAAACAACGCGCGTGCACAAACGCATGCACAAACACACACTGACTGATGTGCAAACACGCACGCATACAAACAGACATGAGCACTTACAAGCAGCTTAGGCACCATGCCAACCGTCCAGCGCTTTTGGCCGCACGCCACCCCAGTTTCCCTGCGCCAGGCCAGGAAGTCCCGGAAAGCGCGTTTGAGATTCAGCTCGAGCGGGTCCGCGGGGTTACCAAAGCACCCAAACTGAATCAACGTAATCCTGAGCGACGGGCAGGTTCATGACTCACGCACAAAGTTGCTACTTTGAGGGCCGCTGTGCTATAATGGTAAACTGCGGTTGCAACATCACCGACACATTAAATTTGACTTTGAAGCAAAGTGACAACGAAGAACCGGTGGCGGTTTGCATCAATCCTAAGTTGATGCAATGCATAGAGCATAGTCGGATAGTGGACTGATGAAAGCCCGGCAGCCCCAGAAGCGGGCCTCAGTCTTGGGACCAACCGTCTCATGTTTTACGCACCGCACCGCTGCAAATTCTGACACGCACTAACGCTTCTGTAGCGCATAAAGGTTGATCAGTGGGCATCAGATCGTCAACCCATTTCCATGTGTCATCATATATTGTATCTATCCAGCTAGCGCTCAGGCCAAGCTCTGTGTACAAGTGGTTGCCCTTGCTTTTTGCTTGGCACCAGAAGCACACGCATGTTGACTGCCACCCATAGTCCTTGAACTGCCAGGCTGCTTTATGCCAAACAAGGTCACTGCGCAATTCGGTTACCCAAACTTCGAATTATCAGAGCAAAGTTGGTTGCCATACTCGTCAACGCCCTGCCAGGCCAAATGAAAACTCCAGGCAAGATGGCGTAGAACTGGTGTGGATTCCGATGCACAGGCAGGATCTGATAGAGAAAACTAGAAAGCGGGAATGCCGAATCGAAGCTGGTCGAAACAATACCAGGTTGACAAATAGGCCCAATACCTTTTCTTCTGGTCCGGACTGGTTGTACCTCGCCTCATCTCCGTAGAGGCCACAAGGCACCACTCCATGGCCACCAAGTCGCGCCCAAGGACAATGATGTTGCTTTGCCCACTGCCAATAAAAGTTGATGTGTTCTGGGGGTGTCCTGAGTTGAATCTCATCATGAAGATATGCTAAGAGTCGACGGGGAGGTATGACTGGAAATTTCAGAGATATCACCTTGTCATCGGTAGTCACATCCAGGATAGGGAGTTCCAGAAAATCAGGTTCCTTGGTTTAACAGCAAACCCTGCCCTGAAAGTGTACGCCCAGCCCAAAAAACCAGCAAATGAAACAGCCCTCATGATGTAAACGCGTTTACCCAGAACTTGTCAAGTCATTAAACTTCAGTGGGTATACAGGGTGTGGGATGAACGCTGAAGTGCAGCATTGGCACCAAGGGTGGCTTGGCGAAATTCCAGAACTTGCGCTGGCAATTGTGAGGGCGCTGCGCTTGTTGGCACTGGCACCCTGCGAGACAGCAATGCGAACGCTAATGAAATTGTAACAATTTTGGGGCATCAAACATGCTTGCTGTGTTGAAAAGCTCACAGACAGACCACGCGCGCACGCTCACATGCGTCCTTGCTCGAACTCGCTGCGGCAGACTTCATGACAGATGCGACGCTCCTCCAAGGCAGCTCTATGCAAAGCCGCGCTGGTCTAATCCACATGCACTGTTAGCTGTTCTAGTTCCTTTGATCAAGTATCTAAATGTGTGAGTGCTACATTGTTTTGACCGACTAGAACTTACAAATAGCGCCGCAAATCGACAGCCTGCTCCGAAACCTTTGCCATCATGTCCATCACGGCCTTGTCATTCGAGGAGTCGGAGTCTGAATCTGTGCGAGCGGGCCGCTGCGCGGTGGCTCAAACTGATCATTCTTGGGGACACTGAATGAAGACAAAAATGAAAAGTGCAAATGGTTTCCCGGCTCCAGGGGTCCTTTGTCATTTTGCTTTGCCCTCTCAAGTCAGCATGCAAGTCAATCAGCGCTGTTAGGTTCAAGAGCTTCTAGATTCTTGGCATGAGTTGGCTCGCACCTGCGCCAAGCCATGAAGGCTTGCAATTGCCCACTCACAGGCGCGCTTTTCACACGACTTTCTGGAAGGTTCCGGTCGACTGCTGACATGTGCATGCGTTGCATGCAAAACCAAATCAAAGCCGGCTGCATTCACTCTCGATCTGAATGTTGATGTTTGTGCAAGTACGGGACGTGTCAACATGTATGTGTTTTGCTTTGAGTCATGGTGTAGTTTCAGTATCCTAAAGGGCGTAAACAAATATGACAACAGGAGTATTGGCATGCCTGGCTTTGGTTCCCCTCAACGCTGTACGCTAGCTAAGCAAGCTTTGGCTTCTTAGCTGACTTAGCCTTTGTGGCCGGCTGTGCCGCGACATCGTAGGCTGAAATCTTGCTATTCATGTTCGCCACCACCTCGTCCAAGATGTTGAGTTGCTCCTGCATTCTGCAACTGGTTGAATAAAGTGTCACTCAGTGGCGCTAGTAGCGGGCCTTGTTGCTGAGATCCCCATCGAGCTTCGCCTGAGGTTGTCCCGGGCGGTCTGAATCTCCTGCACGGAGGCCTGGCATGTCGGAGCAGGGAAAGGGTTTAAGATTGCTTTGACCCTCTAGCGCCTTCACATCCTCCAGGATGGCGACACGCAGCTTGTCCCCCCTCAATCAGTGGATGTGCGTGTGATTATGCTCAACGATCAGCATGTTGGCCTACATGCGCCGGCACTAAGAATCTGGCAGCTGGCTGATCTTATCGGACACCGAATTGGACTCCTGAATCTTCTTTCCCGCAACTTCAATGGCCTGCGAAAGGCTTGACATTGTTCGATTCACAAAACAGCATGCCACACCTTCTTGGCCTTCTTCAGAAGATCCTTTTTTGCGGTTTCCTCATCCTTGCGAAGTTGTTCCTCTTCAGCTGTCAGGCCCTTGTTCTGATCAGCCTGCAGCACAGAAATGAGCTCATCATGCAACTAGGATTGAACAACTCCTTGCGGCTGCAAGACATGACACAATGGAGCCTTTTTCAGTTTCTTACCAGGCTTGCGTTTCCCTTTCTTGTCCTTATTGCCCTTACGCTTTGGTGACGCGTCCTTTTCCTTCTTGTCCTTTCGATGCCAGTGACACTGAATAAGAATTCTAGAAATTAACCAGGCAAGCAGGATTGCTGAACAGGTAAAATGCATCTCCTTGTCCTTGTCCTTCTTGTCTTTTTTGCTCTTCTTCTTCGACTTCTTCTTTGAAGAAGAGCTGTTGCTCGAACGGGAATCATCAGCTTCGGCCGCTTCGTACAAGCTTTTCACTGACTCTTCGTGCACGTCCACCTCAACATCGGTGTCTAAGGTCAAGAATTGCCTCAGCTCCTGGGCAGTAGGCTCATTGGAGAACGTTGACCAAGCTAGCACTCAAACTTGGTTTGCTTTGTATTTATAACCTCCTTCGCTGAGCACGCTATACTGTGACCCGAAAACCCCTCATGTCAGGTACGTGGACTTTGGCAGCAAGCTCCTCGACGTTGGGTGCCTCCGGATGTCGCTCCACCAGCTCTTTAAAGGTCATCCACCTCCTGACGCCCTTTTTCTTGTTGGAGTCCTTGCTAATGCACTGAAGGTAGAGGTTGGACTTCGCCCAATCTTCCTGGCTGTCATTCCAAGACTCGTACAGCATTGACATCATGTCTTTTCCTTAGTGGGCGAAGTGTGCACATGCATGTTTGTTTTTCACCATGTCACTTGATTTGCAATCTGGTTGGTTCCAATGCAATAAACTGGTTGGAGAACAGGAAAGCCCGTGAATGCAGGCGCTAAGATGTGCGCTTCCAGAGGCCTTTCTTCCCATGCGAGCAATCTCATCAGGACACCGAGCACCTGGGGCGGCTGGAACATGTGCGTGATTGCACACGTTTGTGAATTGCATCAATTAGCGCATCAATTAGCCGAGGTGCCCCGCAAACTCCTGTAAAAGCGCATGTATCTCGCGTGCGCTTTCTTCCCAGCTTCCGTTCTTTTCGCGGCGGCTTGTTCCTGCTGTGCATCTTCTGCTTTGGTGTCCGGCTCTGGCCCGTTCGTGACCTTGGTCTCCTTGGTTAGCTGGTCCTCGAGTTGTGCCTTTTGCCCCGTGGGCTGGGCGGGTTGCGTCGGCGATGGTTGGGCGGATGCAGGAGTTCCTGGATCTGCCTCCTGGCCAATCTGGTCCATGGAGCTGGGCCGCAAGAGCGCTTGGAGGGCTGGATCTGGCTGGTTCGCGGTGTTGTCCCAATCCTCCCAACTTTTCCAGTTGGTTGCGCCCCCCCGTCCGTGCCAGCCCCAAGGCTGGCTCCACCACGTGTTGTTGCCCCACCCCCAGTTGAGAATCCTGGCTCTCTTCCAACTGTGTGTGCGCAAGGGCGGTTTGCACCTTTTCGCTTGGTGAGGCTTGCTGTGTGGCAGCCTGTGCTGCCTCAGCAAAAGCATTCTCAAGCTGGCGCGGCGTGGCCTCCAAGGTCTCCTGCGTGTCAGACCCGGTCTGCGTTGAAGGGCCTGCCAGGAGACAAGTTGCACATGACGCGCTTTTGTAGGGTAGGTTGGCCAGCCTGATGTGGCCGTGGTGCTGGAATCTCGGGAGAGTGGCGTAGCTGGCCTCGATCCAGCATTTTGGAAATTCCAAAAATTACGGGCATGCGTGCGACTCTTTTTTTTTCAGACACATTTTTGAAAGGAGTTGCACACTTTCACACTTAGCTCCCGGCTGTGTGACACCAACCTTTTCCGCGCGGGCTTTTGCCTTTGCCAGGGCAGCCTGGGCCCTAACAGACAACATCCTAGGTCTATAGGTGTGCGCCTGATGCCCCGGTCTTCTTTCGAGCCACGCACGGGCATCAGTCATGTGAGCATCAATCATGTTTGCAAACTTGGTTTCTGGCAATGGCCCAATTTGGACCCGACTGTCAAACTGGCTGCAACAAGGATGGTTTCCGGCTTTTGAAGGAGAGGAGGCCTCATCCCACAAAATCACATTTTCCGGATTGGCTGGATTTTGGGGGGTGCGCCGTTCACGCTGATTCACGCTCTTTTCACGCTCCAGGAGGTCCTTCTCACGCTAATTCACGCGTAAATCACGCACCCCGTTTTTACTGTCGCCCTAAAATTCCCAAATGAAAGCACCTTGCATTGACACTTCAACGCAAAGTGCGCGCTACAACCCTGTTCAAATTTCCGGGGCTCTGCCCCAATTCCCGTGTGTTTGGGCAGCAAAAGGGCTTTGGAACCTCAATCTTAGCCATATGTGATGTGTAAAAGCAACCCAGGCACATGAGTTCGCTTGCTCAGAACACCGGGTTGTACAAGCCCTTTGCAATTTGCTCCTTGAGGTACTTCTGCACCGGGCGAAGGTTGGCATGGCGCCAGAATGCCGGCTTCGGGGCCTGCAGAACAGGGGTTCTTTTGATGCTCCCCCCCCACCAACCTCAAGAAAGCGGCCTCTTTGCGGAAGACCTTCTTTGCATCAGCGAGGAACGCCTTGTGCAGCATCCTGTTCTTCTCCTGGCAAGATAGGAATGGATTTTTCTTTTGCTCGGAATTGCTAGGCTGGCCCATTTGGATACTGACTTAAAAGGTAACGGGGTTAAAGCTCCAGGGAACAAATTTGGTTCAACACTGCGGTTCTCTTAAGAGAGGCACTCAAGAAAATCCCAACATGTTCTCAACCTCCTTGGGCTGAAGCGGAAGGGGTATTGAGTGGCCATGTTTGTGTCTCGAGCCCAAACATCCAAATTTGGGTTTCCTTTTCAAATTCAAAGTCGAGAGACAGGCTGTTTATAGTTCATCATCAAGAGCACCCCCAGCGTCGCCAGCAAAATCTAGAGCATGCGCCTTTTGGAACACTCCTGACTTTGCAAAAACGTACCGATTTCGGAGCCTCCTGATTTATTGCAATATCGATTTTGGAGCCTCTCCTGATTTCGCAAAACGTACCGATTTCGGAGCCTTCTGATTTTGCGAGAGGTACCGATTCTCAAAATTGCTTGCGGGGCTCCCGAAAACACGGTGAGTCATAAGTGCTTAATTGCCCTACTTCTTTTTCTATTATTGGATTGGTTGGCGAGGCACAATTTGTGAAGGTGCCGGCTTGAACAACAGCCACCTAGACTAGTCCGAATTATATTCCTTTGATGCTTGCAACCATGGAGACCCTGAGGTTGAAATTGCAATGATGGGGCTGTGAGGCTCCGAAATAACTACGCTTGCGAAATCAGAAGGACTGCAAATTCAATTCTTCCCAGGAGTGGCAAAATCTGGAGGCTCCGAAATCGGTACGTTTTGCAAGCAATCACGATCGGCTCCAAAACTGGTACCGTACGTTTTGCGAAATCAGAAGGCTCCGAAATCGGTACGTTTTTTTTTAATGTCATTTTAAAACCCATTCCCGGATTTGCAGTTTGCTGCGCCTTGTACTCCCGGTGAAACCGAAACACCGCTTTCGCGCATTTTGGCGCATATTGCTGCGTCTGCTTGAGCAGCTTCCCACCTCGCCTGAGCTCAGCATACAACTTGATCGAGCAATAAAACGGTACAAATCAACTACAATTAGAATCAGCTCAGTGCCTGGCACCTTTGTTTCGCCAGTGCCGGAAACATACTTGATGGTGACGCCCTTTGAACTCAGCTTTTCCCGGATGGCCTGCGCCATTGTCTTCTTCAAACGGTGCACCCACGGCCTGAGCAACCGCAAAGGTGCGCTGGTGATTATGTGTCCGCGTCACTTGGTGGACGAGGCTGGGCTCCGGGCACAGTGGCAATGGCCATAGAGGGCTTCGCCGATTTGGCCCCCCAATGGCCCATCCAACTTAGACCGACACAAGTTGCAGTTCATATGCCAACAGTGTTTGCGTTGGGTTTGGCCCTTAAGGGTCGCGCAATCTGGTGAAGCTAGTTTCCATCACCTTCTCATCGAGCATGTCCAACAAGTAGCGGAGCTCCGGGTAGTGGATCACTTTGCTAGAGCTCGGCTGCTCAAGTAGCCAATACACTGCCCGTGCGCTCAAAAGCATCAGCAATGTGACCGTTCTTGATGTAACCCTCAGCTGAACTTGCAGTGTCACATGTAGTGTGTTTGACGCGTGCACATGCAGCACGCACCTCAACCAACTAAAAACTTTGCCAGGGCACACATTGCTTTGCACGATGTATTGCTTGGACACATCCCCATAGGGACTTTCTTCGCTTCTCTGATGGGTTGGGGAGTTCATGAAAATAAACGAAGTGCAAGGCAAGCCAAAGCTTACCAACTCATCAGCTTGAACACGCAATGCATACTGGATCGCTTTGAGATATCCTGTCCTTAGCATAGCCGTGACTGGTTTTGTTGATTTGGAAATCCACGGTGCACTCCAGTCAGATCGTTCTCCTCCGGCCGGTGAGTGATATCATAATATTCCCTTGGCGCCAGTCAACCAAACTCCAGCTGAGATCAAAGGATCGAATATAACTAATCTTGGGAGCGCACGCGTGTTGGTTCTGGCTGCCTGCCTGCAGAAAGCAAAGCTGCCGAGTCACACTACTGAGATAGGAACGCCAGTAATTGTAGAGTGCTTCCTCCCCTGCGAAGAAGTCGAGCAGCTTGAGGTTCTGGGTTGAAAGCGTGAGCGATTGCATGGCCAATTTCAAGTTCTTGTTACGCGCTTTAAGGTCAGACCCTGCTGGGGTCTGCTGCACCACAAAGTCGATGGCATGCAGCCTGCGCGAGTTGGAGGAAAACTCAAGGTTCAAAAGGCTCGTGAGGCCAGAACACAGTAGGTGGCATCCCCCACTGGCGAAGAAGCTCGTGCTCCCTTGCCGTCAGTGCAATCTGCTTCTGGCCCCAGGCCGGACGCTCCACGCTCGCGACTGGCTTGGAGAAGGACGCCTGCATTGCGGGGAGGTGGGGCAAACTACCCTCGGGCCCTATCCACAAGAAGCCAAAATAGCTTTTGGGAAGAATTCATGCAGCTGATCAAGGAATCAAGGTTGCAATCATGATCCCACAACTTGGCAATTCAGCATTCATCAAGCGCTTTTTTTGCATCCGATCAATCATGGGCTCGTGCCCGATATTGATTGCAAACCAGCTGCATGCAACCGCTGGCCGAGCAAGTGTAGGGGCACCAATCAAAGCAGCTTCTGTCGTGTTTGTTTGCTCTGTTCATGTTGCGCAGCGGCACCCCAACCCTAATCTAGAAAACTGGGCCCTGGGTCCATGGGTCCTACCCAGTAAAGTGAACATGTTGAACGAAGGGTTTCGCAACACCTTTTTCGGCTGTCTCCCTTTTAGGTGCCACGGACCTTGCAGTTGGAACCCCAGAGTCCAGTTGACACCCTGGTTGAAAAAGAGCCGTGTTGCGTTCATTCATCAACTCGGCACCAACCGGCTAGACGCCTGGCCATATCCCACATCCGGGTATATGACAGAGACACTCCTCCCTTGCGGTTCGCCTGGCATCGAGTCAGTATAGTGCTGCGCATGATGATGCAGTTCTCACATCACGGCCTTGAACTGCGTGCCGTATAGCTGATTGATCTCCTCAACTTTCTGGGCGCGATAAATGTAGTACTGGCCAACGAGGAGCACCCTGATAGAGGAGCAAGATTCTTTCCCCAACGGGCGGCGGGATAGTCCATGACCTTGTAATCATGCAAATCGACTCAGGTTTCGGGGTGGCGCATCTATAATGTTTGAATCACATGTTCGATAAGGGCGGCACGATTGCCCAACTTCCAAGTCGCTGGGGACTTCGAAATGCGCTTCAGATTTGGCAAACTTTTTCAAGATAGTCAGGCGGCCTTTCTGAACCGGGGTCAGCTCTCGAGGCACCTACAAGCAAGAGAAGGCAAGGCACATGCGCATTTGGCTCAAGATTATCCCGGCCTGAACGGGGGGATTCTCCTCACCCTTGTCATCGCTTTTCGACGCCCCCTCTTCCTTCAAAGTCTTCGGGGCCTGAACGTGACATGTTTCAGGCAAATACCAGGGATGTGATTGAATGCGTGCGTGCACATGTGTGCACACTGAAGCCGCATCCTGCTCTTTGCCCTTCCTCGCAGCCTTCCCGTCCGCCTGCATGACCATAAGTAGGGATGCTTACATGACATGACAGGTGCCTAAATGACGCTAGACGGTCGAGCCTCTTTGGCCTTCGCACCAACGTTCAGCTTTCTCTTCTTGACAGCCTTCTCCGCCTTGCAGGCCAAGTGCATGCGTGCAGCGTACCTGCTGCTGTCTAGCCTCTGCGGTGGCAGCAGACGGCACCTCCAAATGCCCCACTGCCTGGTCACACAACATACACGCACGAGCTCATGAGTCTTAGGCGCAACTGGCCTTCTTGCTGCCCTCGTCCTCGTGCGACTGGCTCTCGTCCTCGTCTACCTATCCACAGGCGGCGCAAAATAGAATCAAGCTCACGAGTGCGCGAAATGGCCTTGATTCCACCAGGCGCTTCGTGCTCCTGGTCCTCGTCCTTCTCCGCCTGATGCAGAGCACGCATGATTGACACATGTGTAAGAGCCCGCTGCCGCTGATGAAGCGCATTCTCAACAGCCGAGCCTCCGCAGCTGCCCGCTTTCCTCTTCCCCGCCCGCGACCGCGTCCTCGGCCTCGGCCTGTTTTCGCTTCTTGCTTTCGGCCCACCTCTTTCTGGGCGTCTCGAATCTGCTGGTTGATGTCACGGCGCACGTCCCATTGCAACTCAGCCAGCGCATGATCAAGCATGCGCGCAAATATTGTTGCATGTGATGTTAATCAATCAACGCGCGCAAGCCCTGCCTCCATCACCAAGCGGCTGATCCCGTTCATGGCAGCGTCTTCCGGAACATCCTGCATGAGCTGCGGGAAGTGCTCCTGCAAGTGGGCCTTCACCAGATTCGGCAGCTCGGGCAAAGGAAACAAAGGCTTGCGGTCCTGCGTGCATGCAACACAGATTCGTGCCAAGAGCAGACCGGGCCCTGCCTTGAAGCTTTGCCTCTTCTTGACCTCCTCCGGGTCCGAGTCTAGGCCTTCCTGCTGCTTCTCTTCCGCCTCCTCCAAGGCTTGCAGGAGCTCCGGCGCCGCCTGCTCCGCCTTCGCCGGCTCCACCTCCACCAGATCTAACAGCTCCGCACTTTTGATCTCCGCTGCCCGCTCGCGCGGCTTCGCCTCCACAACAGCCGCATCAAGCGGCTTCGCCTCCACTCGCTGCTCCAAATCCTCGGCCGCAGCCGGCTGCTCCACATCATCCACCATGGCCGCATCCGGCTGCTCGTCACAACCCACATCCACCCTGGCCGGGGCCGGCTGCTCCACCACATCCACCGTGACCGCATCAAGCACCATGGCCGGGGCCGGCTGCTCCACCACATCCACCGTGACCGCATCAAGCAGCTTCGCCTCGCCTGGCTGTTCGGCATCCACCGTTTCCGCATCCGCCACGTCCGCATCTTGCAGCTTGGCCGGCTGCGCCATGATCTGCGCCGGCTGCTCCGCTACAGGCTTCGTGCTAGCTGACTGCCCACCCCCCTCCTCGCCGCTCTCGGCCACCTCGAACTCATCCTCGCTCCATTGGAGCGTATCCGCGTAGTCCGACTCCATGTCGTCGGCGTTGATTGCGTGTACCGGCACCGGCGCGTCCTCCATCTCCACAGCGCCCGCAGCGCCATCCTCCACAGCGTCCACTGCGCCATCCTCGACCGCTTGCTTGAGCTCTTCGCCTTGGCCTGCGAGCACACGCTAGCGCTGCCAGATTTTCGAACATGCCGCCCCGACGCATCCATGTGCATCCATGCGCACGCGCGCCAGTCCTCGCAGTGCCCGAATCAGATTCTTCAGCTCCTCCATTTTTTCATGCCCCTTCCTGGCACAGTGTAATGGTGCTTGCATGCATGCACTCATCCCGCGCTCCTTGCTCCTTTGTTCTTGCGGCACCTCTTGATCATGTAGCGCATGAGTCCGATCTGCAGCTCGGCCTCTTCCCTGGCCCATGCCTGGCGGCAAATTACGCACGCAGAGTAGATGGATGCGCGCGTACCGACTGCCTTCAGATCCTGCGGGTGCTTGGCCCTGACCAGTGAAACCGCTTTCAGCTTGGCCAGTTTGAAGAGGCATACCTGCAAGGAGGAGGGAGGAATTGTGCACATGGCATGAACTGATACAAAGTTGCCCGCCTTGATTTCATGGAAGGTGGGTGGCTTGGCGGCAAAGGAAGTCATAAATGCCAAGAGGAAATTGAAGTTGTTTTCCTGCTCAACCTGAGTGAGGCGCACGGGGTGTGGCAACTATCGTTGTTTTGTTGTTTGGGGCTGCTGCCACATCGGGAGTAATGCCCTCGGCTGGGATGTCCACGAAGGTCCAGTTGACCGGAGCCTGCAAAAAGGCCGCCCCACTCAAACAAGTTGTGATTGCAGAACATACCTAGCCTGCCCAGCATCCATCCTTTTCTCCACCTTCTCCTTTGGGAGGGCCCTTTTACGGGCAAGGAATTTGAAGCGCTCCTGCACCGCTTCCTCCTCTGAGAGGATCTCATGGTAGAGCTCCTGGAAACTCCCAAGCCCCAACCCTCCCAAACACCTTCAGGGCGCCCTGCCCTGTGCTCCTCCAGGATTGCCATTCTCTCCAGATCCGGCACCGACGGCATCACTGAAAAAGCTGTCGCGCTAGCTGGGCCAGGTTTGCTGCGGGGTTCAACAGCGAGGTCATGTTTGTAGATGGCCATTTCCCTTGTTCCTCAAACTATCTTTTAATTTTTGGGCTTCATGTTTCCGTTCTCGATCCATGCATGGGGCAGGGCGGGCGCACCTCCATAGATCCCCTCCCGTGCACTACCTCGGTATCGGGAGCAAACATGTGTGACTTCGCTTGCTGTCAACGTGTGCATCTGTGTAAGCATATAAGGCCAAGGCGTTTTCGAAGGACTGCCCTCAATGCCATGAGGCAGCCACCCAAAGCTTTGCTAAATCGCACAACGCTGATTGAATGAAATGAGTGGCAGGCACATTTGGTTTTAGAAGTATCGTGGTTGTAAAATTGAAGATAACATCGTGACACATGCTCCTGAATCCATCAACTGCCGTGAACCCTTCACTGAGGTCTTAGGCAAAAGGGCCGGCGGCAGCATCAAGCCATGTACGTGCACTGCACTGACACATGTGCACACCTAGAGTCTCTTGGGAGGTCCGTTCTAAGAGACCTTTTGGGAGGTCCTTTGGTGGCCTCCGCTCAGGTGAGGACCTACCGGACTTCGACTACAAGGACTTCGAAGCAGGTTCGACAGGTCAGGAACGTAGGGGTAACGATCCCGATAGGGACACACCCCGAAGCCGTGGCAGGTACACTGACGATGGAGACGACCGCATTTTCCGTCAGGCCACTGATGATGAGCAAGGACGAGGAGCTCGCCCCGATAGGGGCGGCTCCGAATCAGGTTTCGGACGAGGACATTTGGACTTCATCAGTATGGCGATGGACATGGCCCGCCCTCATACGGACGACCTTGGAGGCCATGCCTACTCGACCTCCAAGGCCTCTTGTTCCAGGTGAATCACAGACCTCAGATGGCTTGGAGGACAGGCCGCGAGGACCGGGAACCATGGTTTTGGCTCCGAGAATATCTCGGGTCAATCAACCGGTTCTCAAAATCCAGGTCAGTTTGATGAGCACGAGGAGAGGGCGTTTGCAGGCATTGGATACGATGCCCTGTTATCGTCGACCGCAGGATGGGGCGGTGGCGTGAAGCAGGAGCAATTGACGAGCTCCAGGCTGAGTACAGGTCATTCGCTGATCGCATGCTGGAATCGCGGGGCGACAGGGGATCCATCGTTGCCGATAGGCCTAGGAACCCTGATGACCCTCAGGATTGGCGTGCAGCAGTCGAGGAGAATAACCGAAGGGTTCAGGATCTCACTCGCCGAGTCTATCGCCAAGCTCGGGATTATGATACTGTCGTTGAGGATGTTGGGGCCGTGAACGCTCAGATTGCTGTGTTCAACGAGAGTACTCAAAGGCTTCAGCAGGCTGCACAAGCTATAAGAACTCAGCTTACCAATCTTCCTTCAAGCGCGGAGCAGACGCAGACCATCGTTAGACGGGAGCTTGTCTACTATCGCAACATGTTAGATGCGACCATGCGAAGGACTGGCGTCGTCGAAAACAACATCAGTGTCCTGAATGAACTGAATACCCGAGTTATGGGGCAGCTTGCCGATCTCGAGGGACATGTCGATGATGCGGCCGATATGATTCAGGTAGCTCAACAGAATCCTCGTGGACCTCACGGCAGACGAAACGTCGGGTACGACGCTTTCGCTGGACAAGGACACAGTCCGACGCCTAACCCTGGAGATAGAAATGCTCAGAATCCTGTCCCGCCGGCCCGACCGGGTGGGGGCGTTAGCATCACCGATCATGTCTTCGGGGACAGTAGGAGAGCGAATGTGGGCGATCAACCCCAGGTCAACAGGGGCTCGAGCTTGCCAAGCGTGCCCAGTAGGGCTGAGGCTGATCCTCATGTCAACAGACGTCCTATCTCTCCCGTTAGGGAGAGGGAGGATAGCCGAAGCAGAAGGGCTCTGCAGATGCAGGATAGGTCTTACTCTCCGCCGAGGCGTATGAGGGATAATCCACGGGCGCGTCCCAGGGCTGATAGTTCAATTTCCCCGAACAGGGATGAAGGTAGGAACAGGGCTGCCGATAGGGAGCCTGAGGTCAGGAGTCGGGAGTCGAGAAACGAGAGACCTATCCGCGATAGCGCCCCTCGAAATTCCAATCGCCAGAAGAGGGATACCCAAGGCAACAGGACCCGAGGTGATGTTCCAAGTCCTGGCGATAGCCGAAGGAACCCAGCTACGGGCAGTGCGCCTGATGGCGATGGACCTGATCTCTCGAGAATATGTGCTCAGGACAACCCGAACGATCGAAGACACCCAAATGCGAGTTTCACCTGTGTTACGTGCGGACGTAAATTCTGCCAGCTGTGCAAGGGTGATGATGGGGACCGTTGGAATTGCCAGCTCTTGAAAACAAAGTGCTGGGCCTGTCGCAAGAACGCTCAGGAGATATCCATGTATACCTGTTCTGACTGTGAGAAGTACATCTGCAATGAGCATACTTTTCTTGGGCACGATTGCCTCGAGCGATGCTCGCGGTGCCACGGTCGTGGAGCGCCGCCTCCCCCCTGGAAGTGGAGGCGGTCCTGAGGGACCATCGGGTCACGATGGAGGCGGATGAGGTGGCCCACCCCCAGGGCCTGGACCTTCTACTGGAGGCTGGACCTCCTGGTGGCTCAGCTGGAGGTGGTGGGGCGCCTCCCGGAAGACATTTTGGTGGAGGAGGAGCGCCCGCATTTAGCGGCACCGTTGCAGACTCACACGGAGCTGGGAGCAATCAGTGTGGTTCCAGTTTCTATGGTCCGGCCTACGGGGGTGGTGTTAATCACCAAAGCATTGGTGTTGGCGGTAGCCAGCCCAATGTTGCTGCTGGTTATCCATCTAGTGTCGGCAGTGCCAGGAATCTTGGGCCAGGTCTTAGCCTTGGCTACAGTGTTTATGGCGCTGGTAGGCAGGGAGATGGCGGTCTTCTTCCTGAAGCCTTGAGAGGAGACGACGGGCGGGATAAATGCACCAAGTGTGGTAGGATCCCTGAGTTCGGTTTCCCTCTTGTGCCATGCGTTGGCTGTGGAATGAGGGCATGTGAAGTGTGCTGTCCTTTGCCTGCCAGGCTGTGTGAGAGCTGTATCTTGTACCCTGATAGGGGCGCTGATCTCAACTCTGGTTGATAGCAAGGATCGGTACCATCATAAATGCAACACAATCACGTTGCCTGCCGAGCCGACAGCTGATAAGCTTCGGGAATGAATGGATCTCTGAACTGAAGGAGAGGGTCAGAAATGCTTTCAGTTTTGACTCTGATTACGCGTTAGCGTGGATTTCAGAGACTGAATGGCTTGACTATGATGCACTAGGTGGGCCCTGTAAGTACCCGGTGTTGGATTCCAACTTCACGAGTGCTATCAGGGAATGCATCAAGACGAGGGCCGTTAGGGACAAGATGAATCGCCTTACGGAGGCCACTCAGAATATGATCCCTCCTCAGGGCATCAAGGGAAGGCAGATCTTGAAGCTTCTGCTGAACCACTTGCAGACTGGGAATGTCAGCATGGTCGGGACTGCAGGTTTGAGCACGACAAGAGCCCGAGGAACCCTGCTGCGCCCTCTACTCCAAGGACTGGTGATAGGCCCGTTAGGGACAAGCCCATGTACTTTGGGTACTGCTACGATTGGATGTATGGCAAGTGCACTGCTCAGCAATGCAAGTACTTGCATCAGAAGCCGCCTCCAGGTACGAAGCCTATCATGCCTCGTACCACTGCGGGTCCTGTCGTTGAAGATGAAGAGGAGGAGGCTGCTAGGGATTTTTAGGTGGGGCGGGCCGTAACCCTGAGGCTGACTGTGTTGTTGTGGCATGTCCAGTGATGTGGGCTGCTGCCCCAGCTATCGGTGGGTCTACACCGGGGTGTCTCCCGCTTGGCGTTAGCCGCTGGGAGAAAAGTGAGAATGGCGCGTTGTTCTTCTCGGGCACTACAGGCGGAGGTCCCAAGTGGGACCAGGTCGTATGGAGAAGGACAACTGGTGCCGATGGGACAGTCATCGAAGATATCGGGGTGGACTCCGGTGGTCGTCGATCGGTCCTATTCAGGAGACTCCCCAGAAGGACCAACATCAAGACAGTGTTTTGGTACTGTGATGATGCGGAGATTGTATTGTCCTGGAGGCGCAAGTACTTTCAGAATGGTCCCGATAGGGAGCCTCTGAAGGTCAGCATCCCTGATCTCCCTGATGTGTTTG